AAATAGCCTCCTTCACAGCCTCCGTAACTGTCATATACTCTGCCTCCGTCGTAGACAAAGCCACCGTCGACTGTAAGGTGCATCTCCAACACATCGGCGCACGGGTCAAAGTGAACACATATCCCGTAGTAGACCGGCGCTTATCCAAATCCCCGGTATAATCCGAATCAACATAACCAATGCATAACTGCCCACCTTTAGTGTCCCGCTCATAAACCAAACCAACATTGAGCGTACCTCGAATGTACCTCAAAATCCATTTCACGGCGTCCCAATGACCCACTCCTGGATCGTGCATGTATCTCGATACCATGCTTACTGCCTTTGACAAATCTGATCTCGTACATACCATCGCGTACATCAAGCTCCCAACCGCACTCGCATATAGAGTCTTCGACATCAACTCTCTATCTTCAACTGACTTCGGTGAAAGACCAGCTGAAAGCTTCAAATGGGCTCCCAAAGGTACACCAACTGGCTTCGTATCCATGCTAACATGGAATCGCTGTAGAACCTTCTTCAAATAAGCCACCTGTGTCAAACAAATTCTGCCCTTCTTCTTGTCTCTGCCGATCTCCATCCCTAGAATGCGCTTCGCCTCACCCAAGTCTTTCATCTCAAACTCATTTGATAGCTGAACTTTCAATTCATCTATAGCCGACCTGGAAATAGAGGCAACCAACATGTCGTCGACATATAGCAACAAATAAATATACGCACCTCCTTTCAACTTGCGAAAATATACGCAAGGATCAAACTGGCTCCGAGTGTACGAATGACCAAGCATAAAACCATCAAATCGAATCTATTCCTTCCTCCTGTGCATAGCCCTTCGCAACCAACCTAGCCTTGAATCTCAACGGAGTGCCTTCAATGCCCTCCTTCTTCGTGTATACCCACTTGCAACCAATTGCCTTCCGCCCCTTTGGAAGCTCAACAAGCTCCCATGTATCGTTCTTATGAAGAGATTCCATCTCCTCCTGCATAGCCACCTGCCACGAATCAGCCTCCGAACTCTGCTCGGCCTCTCTGAAAGTAGTAGGTATCATCTCATCGATACTCTCCACCGGAAGTGCATATGCAACTGTGTCGGCATACCGTGCTGGCACCCGTATGTCTCTCCTCTGTCTCCGTGCCGCAATAGAATCCTGAACCTGAGCCGTCGGTTCCTGATCCTGCACATTTGTACTCGTATCCTCCGTGTCATCGTCGTGCTCGCCTGGCGTCACCTCAGTCGGCACCTGCATGGATACTGTACCATCTGGACAATGTGGAGCTGCATCGATCTCCACCACCTGCGATATCTCCTCCGTCGGGTCGCTCTCCACCTGATGAGAGCTTGGAAGCTTCAAGATAGAAGCTTCATCAAACGTGGCGTCCCTACTCAGCACAATCTTCTTATCAACTGGATCCCAAAGCTTGTATCCCTTGACATCACGCTTGAATCCTACAAATATGGCCTTCCTAGCTCGAGGTTCCAATTTATCAGTTTTAACATGATAATATGCAGGGCACCCAAATACCTTGAGCTGGTCATAATTGCTGGCTTTCCCGACCACATCTCCATAGGGGTTTTCCCCTCAATCGCAGATGAAGGCAGCCTATTAATGAGGTGGCTCGCATATGTAAGTGCCTCAGCCCAAAAGATCTTCTCCAAACCACTCTGCGACAATAAGCATCGGATCTTCTCCAGTAAAGACCGATTCAACCTCTCTGCCACCCCATTTTGCTGCGGTGTATGACTAACTGTGAAGTGTCTCTCTATGCCCTCGTCTCGACATAGCTGCTGAAAGGGGTCAGAAGTATACTCACCACCGTTGTCGGATCGCAACGTCTTGATCTTTCTCCCAGTCTGCAGTTCCAATCTCTTCTTCCACTCCACAAACAAATCTAGGACTTCACTCTTCTTCGTCATGGTGTACACCCAACAACGCCTAGAATAGTCATCTACAAAAGTGATGAACCAATGTCGACCACCAAGTGATGCAGTCTTGGTGGGACCTCAAACGTCTGTGTGCACGTAGTCCAGGATGCCCCTCGTCTGATGAATGGCAGTCCCGAACATCACTTTCGTCTTCTTTCCAAGAACACAGTGCTCACAGAACTCAATCTTTTCACTCTTGGCTCCCTTCAATAGTCCCTGCTTACACAATGTCTGTAGTGACTTTTCACCTGTGTGCCCCAACCTATAGTGTCAAAGTCTGCTCATGTCCGCTTCTGAAATAGCTGAAGCAACCTGGCCAATCTCGGTGCTTCCCTTCAGATAATACAAATTCCGATTGCGGACTCCCCTCATCACCACCAATGATCCCTTAGTAACCTTCGCTACAGCGTTTTCGAAAGTCACCTTGAATCCCTTCGCCTCCAAAGCTCCAACTGAGATAAGATTTTTCTTCAGTTGAGGAACAAATCTCACCTCCTTCAACTCATGGACTACTCCATCGTGCATCCTAATCCGCACGGTACCTATCCCACAAACGCCACAGGATTGATCATTTCCCATGACAACAACGCCCCCGTCGACTTTCTCAAAAGATGCAAACCAGTCTCGCCTAGGGGCCACATGAAAAGTAGCGCCGGAATCAAGCATCCAATCTGATGCATCCACATGGTTCACCTCCGGAGTAATCAGTAGAGAAAAGCACGAATCATCGGAATCATCGCCTTTCGCAATATTCACCTTATTGGCCTTCGGGCCTTTTTTCTTGCCATTCTCTTTCTCCTTGAGCTTCGGGCAGACTCTCTTCCAATGTCCCTGCTCCTTGCAGAATGCACATTTTCTTTGTTAATTGGTGGCGGCTTCTTGACTTTGACCTTCCTCTATTACCACCTTTCGGATATGGGCTTCTACCTCTCGTCGATAAGGCCTCGCCTGAAGTGCTAGCACGGGAAGTCTCCTTATCCTTCCTTCTCAAATCATAATTGGTCAAAGCGTTAGTCACTTCACTATAGCTGATAGAAGATCTCCCGTTCAACAAACTCAAATCATAATTGGTCAAAGCGTTAGTCACTTCACTATAGCTGATAGAAGATCTCCCGTTCAACAAAATGAGCACGAAGGTATCACACTCCTCATCCGGTAAGGAGCCCAACAAAATAATCGCCTTGTACTCATCCGATATCTTCTCATCAACATTCGCCAAGTCCGACAACAACTTAGTGTAGTTGTTCACATGAGCCGCTAGCGAGTGCCTCTGGACATCTGAAATTCTGAAGAGTCTTCGCAGCAAGTGCAACCTGTTCTCAACACTCTTTGTGAGATACTACTTATTGTTGAGAATTTCTCACATCTTCATTGCAGACGTCACCCCAATCACATGATATTTCAGTTCCTGTTCCAAACAGGACCTGATCACCCCACAAGCGTTCCTATTCATTTTCTCCCATACCGCCTCATCATATTTAGGTGGCCTCTCGTGGACCATGATGGTCTCTTCCAAATTCTGAGCATTGAGCGCATCCTGTACGTCGCTCATCCACAAACCAAAGTTGATTTTGCCGTCATACTTCACCACACTAATCTTAGTGTTCTGAAAACCAACTTGTATTGTACTCGCCATCGATTTGCTGCTTTCACCTTCTTCTCCCATTGCAAACTAACTCCAAAATTGTAGAGAAAGAACAAATTTGATAGAAATTAAGAACCACCCAACTGAACCCTAGATTGGATTCCAAATAGATTTCTTAACCACACGAGGAAAGCGAAATCTCTAACGGCAACTCCTAATGCTATCTCCACCGAAGCCGAGAACTCCAAGAACTAAGCTTCACACAAAATCTTCCTCTACCAAAAAACCCTAGATCTGAAATCTAGGCTCTGATACCACTTGTTGCGCGCAGCGGAAATTTTGACAGCACTTCGGCAGCACAACAAGAGAGTCAGATCGCAATAAGAATTCCCGTCTCACCAAGGAGACAAGAATCTGAAGCGGATATCTCAACCAAGTGAGATATCGGCTCTTCCTCTCATCAGTTCTAGGACTGACCTGTCGAGGGATCCTAAAAAGCTATTACAAATCACACAAAAGCGATACAATCAATTTTTAAGTGGTTCGGCAAATTTGCCTACGTCCACGGGGCAAGGAGGGGGGGAGATCTACTAATAGAGGGAGAGAATACAACTAGGGTTTACAATCACTCTCAATCTAAACCCTCAAACAAACTCTCAAATCCCTCACAAATACCTCTCAAAGGGATGCACAAAACCCTAAAAGAGACTACACAAAATCTCCTCAACTGCAGCCGCTATCTCCTCTGTCTTTGTACTTGCTCAGCCGATTGAAGACAGCCGCAAAAAATCCCTCTGCTATTCTCCTGCAGCCGTACAGACCCAATTAGCCTCCTTCGCTCAACCTAATAAAAAAAAACAACGTTTATATATAAACGTGATGTTGGGCCTTCGTGGGCTTCACTTGCGGAAAAAGAAACGCGTCCGCGTCCGGCTTCTTCATTCACGCGGCTTCATCACACGAGTCCGCGTCCGGCTCGTGGTCTCGTGGTCCTCACCTGCACACACACACAACGATGTTTAAATTCGTGGCTAGTGAGATTTAGATATGGATTGATCTAATACCATCTTAAAATCCCTAAACATCACATCATAACTTCAAACCTGCAGTAATGATTGATGGTTATATTTTTATTTTTAACAAAATAGCCTTATATGATATTTGTTAAAAGTAGTCAAATATTATAATTTGTTAAACGTAGTTATATTACTTAAGTTATTTTCTTAGGACAATGTTCCATTTCTAAACATAAGATGTATAGTGTTTTATGATCAGCAGAAAGTAGAAATTTGTATCAATTTATCTTCATTTAGTGCAAATTTTCTTGCACGATCAATATATCTATTTGATTGGTCACGGAGACTTTAAATTCGTACGAGGAAACATTTAAATTTCAAAATTGGAAATATCACCTTGCATATAGATTTTGCTAAATTCTAAGTTTGCAAGGAGATGTGTAAATTATATTATTTTTGTGTTAACCAGTTTCGAATGAAAAGGAAAAGGAAGGGAATTAATAGATAAGGCTCATAGACTACATTTCTTTTCCTCAAAATCCATAAAAGAAAAAACCCTTCAAAAAAAAAGAAAACTAAAAACAACTAGCCCCTTCTTTACTTCATCTGAAAGCTTCTGAAGTCCAAAACACCAGCACTACTAAGGCCGAAAAACCCCTCACATTTAATACATCCGTTGCTTTCCCTCAATCCCAACCTGCAATCAAAACAAAACACTTCTCTCTTCACAGAGACCCCCTCAGTCTGCTCTACAGCAGGAGGACTTATGCAAAGCTCCAAATTCAAATCTAAGCACTGTGTTGGCGTTGAATCGTTGCTATTGCTGCTACTTCTGCTGCTATTACTGCTCCTCTCTTTTTCTTGTGAAATGAAGTCCAGGTTCTGCTTATCTTCTCTATTTTTAGTGAAAGAGATGGTGACATCCGAGACTGGTGCTCGAAGTGGTCGGTGGCTGGCCGGATCTATTCCTTGGCTTAGTAGCTTTCTTTTGATGCGTGTGTTCCAATAGTTCTTGATCTCATTGTCTGTCCTTCCTGGTAGCTCTCCCGCTATCGAAGACCATCTGAAAATATTTTTTTTTAGAATTTATTAATTTTAGCATGGTATGTAGAATAAATGGATCAGTTTAGATCATATGATTTTTTTTTCCTTAATATAACAATGATGATGCATCCTAGACGGTCATCTTTTTTCAGTAACCGAAGTTACATATGTTCAGAAAATTTATTAATTAACCAAGAGAAAGAAAGTATACAATATGCAAAAATAAATTAGGAGATAAGAGGGAGGATTAGAAGACCACAGACTAATCATAACACTTATCATTTCCTATAATTGACATGCTGATCGAGTAGTTGTTTAAATAAATTAAAAAAAAAAACACTCTTTAGTACTGTAGTTGAGAGGATATAATTAAATTCATGTTAGTAATCCCCATGTGAGCGAGTATGCCCTCACATTGATTTTGAATTAACTTTGATTCATTTCAATCTCTTTGTAGTTTAAGACAAATTTAATTTCTTTAACAAATTAATTAAACATGATGAAGTATTAATGGATATTATACACAAAAGACATGAGACTATATGTATGTATGTATACATACTGTTGACTTAACATGTATTTATGTTAACTCTTACTTGTTGCCTAATAAGCTGTGGAGCTTGATAATGAGCTCATCCTCTTCCTCTGTGAAATTCCCACGCTTTAAGTCCGGCCTGAGATAATTTATCCAGCGGAGCCGGCAGCTCTTACCGCATCTCAGGAGCCCAGCAGCCTTGGGCAGTGACCGCCAGCATCCTTCACCATGTTGGCGTATATAAGCAGAAAGCCTCTCATCTTCTTCTTTGGTCCACGCTCCTTTGTTAGTGTGAGCCTTTTCACAGCACGGAGACCTTCCCATATTTTGAGAAGTAGTGTAAATTGGTAACTATTGAGAGTTAATTTATAAAAAGGAAGAAGGAAAGAATGGTGTGGAGTTGGTTAGTATTGGTGGTGGTGGTGGGGGGTATTTCTAGATGCGTGAGCTGGTGAGGGAATAATTATATATGAAGGAGAGAGAGGGAGTTGTTCGGGGTTGGTAAAGGTTTGGTCTCTCTCTCTCTCTCTCTCTCTCTCTCTCTCTCTCTCTCACTCATTAACTTGCTAATCACATGCTTTATGGTTTTAACGACAAGTCTCTGGTCAGCTAACCATATGCTTATTTTAATCAAGTCGATCTGTTATGTTTTTCTATAATGCTCCAAGATGAGATTACCTTAAAAAAAGCCTTTTCAAGATGAGATTACCTAATTAAATTAAAAAAAAACTCTTCAAGATGAGGAAATTTATCCGCTATTGTACGATTCACGTGTTCAATAACATTTAAGTTGTGGTTTATTTCAAGATGAGGATACTCGGCATCTAAAAAAGACGCTTAATATTGTTGGCGCACGCCAGCTGCAATTCGATACTGTATATTGCAAAATGTAGCCCGCAAAAGCATTACCGAATAGGCTGATTAGATCTCCTCGATCTTCATAAACCAATCGATTACTTGGCGATATTGAAACCGCGAGAAATCATGTTCAAACTAAAGAGAATAGCAATATATTTCAAAAAAAATTACCACGGAAAAATAGATTGGTTATAGGAATCTTAATGCGAATAGAATTCCAAAATAAATCCAAAACAGGAAAACTTCTTGAATCAGTCTAACATACGGGTTTGACCGCGCGGCATACTGACGGAGGATTTTGTTGGGCAAACCAACCGGTTGTTTTGCTTTCCGCTTCAATTCTGACTCTTCCTTTATCTTCTAGAACTGAAATGCAAGGCCATTTCCCAACCTGATGCGTCCCTCTATTTGAAATTAACTTAATAGCAATGGTCTATCATTCTAATCGTCTTGCCCTTTGCCTTTGTTATCAGTCTCAATTAAAGTTAGGGGCTTATTTGAAAATATATCCTAATTTGGTGCAAATGTAATATGAAATTTTTTATATAAACAAGGGACTTTTTTTTTTCAATGACTTTCAAAGCGCTTAAGGATTCAAATAAAATTTGGCTAAAACATTGGGAATCTTCACTCAACTTGGCCCTCTAATAAGAGAGTTTAACGAAATGAACCCCCAGGGGTACATAAGAACCAAGAATAATGAACCTCCAGCAAAATAAGTCGAACCCAGTCAAAGCGACACTCAAAAATCCAAACCGCTAAAGAGACGCCATAGAATGGTAATTACATGCAAAAGTGAATGGAACAGATGTGCCCTCTGCTCCCCACTATCACAACATGCCGCTACGAGTCCTCCAGCTCTAATTCATATGAAGAATTGGCGAACGCGACCAGAGAAGTGCACGAAATCCAGCAGGAGAATTCAGCCAGGTAAACTGGCGGTCGACCGCGAGTCAGTGACGATCGACCGCGAACATGCACAAGAGGACAGTAGGATTCGGATCTGAAAGCGGTCGACCATGACGATCGACCGCGCCAACCCAGTAGGTGATTTTTACTCTCGGAATGAGATTCGTCGACGGCCGCGGTCGACCGTGGGTTTCCTGTAATCGATTTAAGTCTCTGTCGTTTGGTTCGGTCGACCGCCACGGTCGACCGCGATACCTGCGTCGACCGTCGCGGTCGACCGCAGACTGTTTTGGGCTTTAGGTTTTCAACCCGTTTCGTTTTGAGTTAGTATAAAACTCTAATCCTGATTAGTTAGGGTTAAGCAAGGACGTTTTTTGAGCAGTCTTTTGGAGAGGATTGCTGCATCCAATTGTAGAAGATTTGTGAGAGATCTAAATGTTTGTTTTAGGGTTTGATCGGCGAGATTTGTAACTCTACTTGTATTCTCTTGATTTCTAATAGTAAGAACTCCCCTCTCTTTGTCCTGTGGACGTAGGTAACTTGCCGAACCACATTAAACTCGTTGTCTTACTGTGGTATTGTGTTTAGCTTATTAGTTATGATTTATCTCTTGGATTGTTCATGTCGCTTCGAGGCTTTTGCCGTGCACAACAATTGATATCAGAGCTTCGGGTTCGGCTTGAGGCTTGTTTGAAGGATTCGCTAAAGGATTCCTATTTGAAGAGTTAGATTGACAATATGAGTGAAACAAGCACATCATGATCGTCTCTTATGAAGACGATATATAGTTTGAGCATCAATAACATGAAGATCGATGTTCCGAAGTTTGATGGAAAGATCAATTTCGATTTGTGGAGGTGCCAGGTGATGAATGCGTTGGACGCTCAAAACTTGGAAGAGACTCTTGAGTTGCAAGAGAAACCTACTGATATGAAAGAAAAATGCGTTGGACGCTCAAAACTTGGAAGAGACTCTTGAGTTGCAAGAGAAACCTACTGATATGAAAGAAAAGGTTTGGAAGAAGATGAATAGTAGAAGAGACTCTTGAGTTGCAAGAGAAACCTACTGATATGAAAGAAAAGGTTTGGAAGAAGATGAATAGTAAGGTGTATGGAGTTATTCGGTCATGCTTGACGTCAGATCTTATTTATGATGTGATGAACGAGACGTCGGCGAAGAAGATATGGGAAACACTCAATGTAAAGTATCTCATTAAGAGCATTGAGAATCGGCTTCACTTGAAGAAGAGGTTTTATCAGCTCAAGATAAAGAGGGGAGTTTCCATTAGGGAGCATGTTAATAACTTCACGAAGCTACTTTCAGACATGACTAATGTGGATATTATGGTTGAGGATGAAAACAATGCGATGCTATTTTGTGTTCGTTACCTGAGGATGATTATGGTACCTTTGTTCTCACCATGATTAATGGAAGAACTACCGTTAGCTACAAAGAGGTGACCTCAGCGATGGTGAAAATGAGTTGAGGAAGAGTGTTGATGAGTCCTCCAAGAAGGCATCGGGAGATGCATTAGTAGTTCAAGGCCGTGGTTCAAACCGAAGCAGGAGGTCGCAGTCTAGAGGTGCAGATCGTAGGATTCGTAGGAATCAGTATGTTTTTTTGTAAAGAGTATGGACATTGGAAAGCTGAATGCCCAAAGTTAGATCGAGCTGAGAAGAATAATGGGAAAGCTGTATAAGTTTCAGAGGTGAATGTTGTCAAGACTAGTGACAACAATTCAGATTCAGATTTTTCAGGCTATTCGTTATCTGCACTATCATCAGTTTGTAATGTCGACTCTACAGAGTGGATGTTGGATTCAGGTGCTTCTTACCACGTTTGCCCTAGGAGGAATTTGTTCTCCATCTTTCAAGAGTTGGAAAGAGAGGATGTCGTGCTCATGGGTAATGGACATGCATGCTCTATTGGTGGTATTGATATTGTTCGGATTAGGATGAATGACGGGTGTTCGCGGTGAAAATTGTTTTCTTCATTGAAATCATTGTCATCTCAAGTAATTGCTTTTTGGTTACAAAAGATCCGGTCTTTTTTTAGATCCGGTTACAACGAAATCAAAGAAAATAAAAAAAGATTACAACTTTCTCCTTTAGAACAAATCGCGAACTCCTGTTTTGCGGTCGCTCGCTTGTGTGGGCTCTTTGCCGACGCCGGGGTTTATCCGTGGACCACCGCGCGATCTAGATCCGGTCGGATCTACGCAGTACGACGGATATTATTTCGCGAAGGAAATAATAGCCGGGGGGATTGGTTCACCAAGGAAACAATCGCCCAAATCTCAGGATCAAAGACCAAGCTTTGATCCGGAGTACGCCTGTGTAGATCTGAGATCCGGTCCTCTCGAACTCTTGCCTTATTTGACGTTGACGATCGCCGAGCACCAGATCTGGATGAGCAAGTCCTCAAAGTCCTAAAGCTTCAATCTTTTTTAGATCTGAGTCTTGAATCCAGCAGAGCTTCGCCTCCAAAAATTCCAACATTTTTAAATGAACCAAGGGGGCCTATTTATAGGCTCTCTGAACTGTGCCCGCGCACAGAACTGGGCCGGCCACCTATAGGTGGCCAGCTCTGGGCCGAGCCACCTATAGGGCTCGGCTCCCTTGGCCGAGCCCCCTTAGGCGTGGTTTTTGCGTCGTTTTCCGTCTCGGTTGCAGTTCCGTGATCTCGGTTCTGTGGTTGATTTATCCGGACTTGAATCGTTGACCTGATTTGGCAGTAAATCCACTTCTGAGTTCGAGTCCGAAACCGATCTTGATTCGATCGTGATTCGTCCGAGTCCGCTCTTGTTTGAATGACTCGTTGATTCCCCGAACTGTTGGCTTGATCCCACGCGCGAATGGATGTATTCCGTTGCTTGCGTGCGATTCGTCAACCTCGTCGCCTCGTTGGTTCTTCGGTTTGTGCTGAGCTGTGCTAAGGGATCTATAAGCAATTTTATACGCCTACAGATACCCCCTCCAAAGTATTTCAGCCTCGTTCTTTTATAGAAGAGTGGAATACTTTGGATATGATTGTCTCCTCCTTCGGGATATTTGGAGTGGCTTCTATTCTTAATTCCTTCAATCCTTCAGGCTATCAGGTGCTTTGTCGAATGTCTATAAGGTTTTCGGTGCTGCATTTATTGTCTGACCGTTGTCGGAATTTCGAATTTGAAGCCGATTCCTGATTTTATGATCTTTAGCTCATGTTTGTTGGTTCAACATAGAACCGACTCTCGAATGTTGGCGTTGAGTCTTTATTTGCGACGCGTTGTCCGGCGTAATGTTGTTGAGTTATCCTTAAGAATATTTTTTAGAAAAATATTCTCCAGGAACTTCTCAAGCAAAAATAGGGAATAGTTTATACTCGTATACCTTATTGGAGTATTAAGAAGCAATTTATACTCGTATACTTTTCGGAGTATTAAGAAGCAGTTTATACTCGTATACTTTTCGGAGTATTGATTCTTTCATTGCAACGCATTGATCGGGCACTGCGTTTATCGCTTGGCCGTCGTCGGAGTCTCGAGTCTGCAGCTGATGAATTGAGTTTGGCTCGTGTCATTGAGTTGACTTTGAACTACCTCCGTCACATTGTGTTGACTTAGGGTTTTGGATCATCGTGTGTTGATTTTGG